GTCTCCAGCCAAGTAACAAACAGATCAAAAGTAAACATGTATGTTCACTGTATAACAAACACATTATACACGTCTCAGTCTAACTGACAACTTCCTCTTTTAAAACACTCTTTTCCTCTCTTTGTTATATAATCTTTCACACCACTGAAGTTGATTTTGACTTTTTAATTTATTTCAATGTGTTTTGGCCATTCCCTTAAATTAAGCATTACTAAATGAAATTTTAACAAATGACTTTACAAAATAATTTTGCAGCAAGATCTGTAGTACTGACTGCTGAATCCATGGAGAGTTGCAATGAGTTTCCAGGAACACTGACACTGAAGCAGCACCTTCCCACACAATCACACCACTTGAGTACAGTTCCTTGGAGCTGCTCCAAACGGATGCAGGACAGGAGGCAAAAAGCAAGTGACAGGGAATTCACAGTAGGCTAATTTCTGAGTCCTCCAGAAAGGCTCAGCAAAATACCAAAGCTACTTGTAGTGCTTTGAATCTCCCACTATAGCTGCCCTTTTCCAACAAAGTGCATTCACAGAAACAAACAGCCCTCTCCCTGACTTTTAACCACTGAGCTTGATTCTTAAAGGACACTGATGATAGAATGTTCTCACAGAAGATGAGATAATGCATTATTAACAGAAAAGGAAAGTAATAAAAAAAGAAAACATACTTTTCATGGTCCCATCTTCCTCTTCGTCATCGTCACTATTTATTACCATGGTCCCCAGGTCTGACTCTAGCATGGTACTGTTGTGTTCAATCATTGTCTGAGCGCCTTCACTCATCGTGCTTGTGGCCCGCATGGTACTAGCACTCTCTGAATTGGTCTTCACCATGGTGTGCGAGTCCAGCTCATCTTCATCCTATCAAGAAACACTGGTCAGAATGCAGCAGAGCATTTCAGAAAACCAAGTTAAGAAGCAATAATTTAGATGCTTATCCATTGGTTTTTTTATGTCTTCACACGACCTAGTTATACTGCTAGATTAGCAGGCTTAATAATACTAAAAAACATGAAACAAAAAGGCACTCTATTAAAGTAGAAGAAAAAACTTTATCCCATCTGCCAGCTGTATAGCAACATTGATTTACCAGAAATATGACCCACACACTCACTTTTGCACCCAGCTTTGAATATCTCACTGATCTTATGGACTCCGCATGCTTCTCCGGGACTGAAAATCAGTAACACATTTTGTTTGGTTGGTCTGTAATAGATCATCACCAAGGGTATCATCCTCAACTAAATAACACATTTTGTGTCTCGTATGTTGACAATACCGTTTGGACAGAACATCATGAAGAGGGGCAATCCAAAGCACAAATACAGGTTGGGTGGAGAATGGCTTGAGAGCAATCCCATGGAAATGGATCTGGAAGTGCTGGTTGATGGAAGACTCAACATGAGCCGTCAGTGTGTGCTCGCAGCCCAGAAAGCCAATCATATCCTGGGTTGTATCAAGAGAGGTGTGACCAGCAGGTCAACAGAGGTGATTCTGCCCCTCTACTCTGCTCTCATGAGACCACACCTGAAGTACTGCGTCCAGTTCTTGGGCCCCAACATGAGAAGGACATGGAGCTGTTGGAGCAGGTGCAGAGGAGGGCCACAAAGATGATCAGAGGGCTGCAGCATCTCCCCTGCAGGGACAGGTTGAGAGAGCTGGGGCTATTCAGCCTGGAAAAGAGAAGGCTCCAGAGGGACCTTATAACAGCCTGCCAGTACCCGAGGGGAGTCTACAGGAAAGTTGAGGAGGGACTTTTTGGAAGGGCACGTGGTGATAGGACAGGGGGAAATTGTTTTAAACCGGAAGAGGGCAGATTTAGGCTAGAGATTAGGAAGAAATTCTTTACTGTGAGGGTGGTGAGACACTGGAACAGGTTGCCCAGCAAGGTGGTGAATGCCTGCTCCTGAAAGCATTCAAGACCAGGCTGGATGGGCTGCAAGCAACCTGTCCTAATGGGAGGTGTCCCTGCCTATAGCAGGGGATTGGAACTAGATAATCTTAAATGTCCCTTCCAGCCCATTCTATGATTCTATGATTTTGAATCAATGTGCCAGGAATGTAAAACAGAGAAATAATGACAATCCAGTTAATTAATTATTAACTTTATATGCAATATCAATATTCGAAAATACTATTGGGAAATGCCACTCATTTTTGCAGTTTGATTTCAATGATATGCACAATAGCACAGCACTTCATGAATGTATAGAAGCATTTTCTACATGAGTACATTTTTAATGTTCCTCTCACTGATTAAACAAGAAATAATACCCACCATTGTGAAGACACCGTATGCCAAATTTTAAAATTTTACATACAGATGCTACTTTCACTAATTTTATAAACTTCCAAGTCCAACTGAAAACAGTCAAGTATGAGTATGTATATATATTTTTTCTCTTCTGTAGAAGAACTTCAACTGCATCCTGATACAAAATATCTCTGGTTAGGAAAATCTTCCAGCTACACAGCTCACATCACAAAAGTATTATATAACGTTATGTGCCAATTACAAGTAATGTGCCTGTTGTTACACAGAACATTAAAACAAGATTTCACCCACAAACTAATTTTTCCTTTTGCTCAAATCTGTGTTGTTTTAATATAGTTCATATTTTAACTATGGAGAAACCTGTAAGGAGTGCAAAAAGAAAGAACTCCAGTTACTCTCCAGTTCTGGCCATTTTTATTTCTTACTGAACTGGCTCTTTTCCTTTCTTGTTATTCCCTGACATGGCAGACAACTTGCCTGCAGTACAAATCTAATTGCAAGAACCAGGTACACTGTGTGAGTGCCTGTTTCACAAATTAGTGGTCAAAGTAGGTATGGAGAACCACATTTAGTAAGAGTAGCAATAGACCACCTCCCGCAAATAGTTCTCCTATGTCTTGGCCCAGAGGCACACAAACAGATCTTACTTTGATTCAGAATCTAGCCAACAACACAGTACGCTGAAACCAGGATACAGAGCAGATTTGAATAAACTGTCAAATGTCAAAAGAATCATAGTTTTCCACGTTATACTTTGTAAAAATGTTGAAGTTCTTAGATTTCATTTCTAAGCTGCATGCTAAAACACTCTGTGAAGTGCCGTACCCTTAAAAACTTACGAAAATCCTACAGAAAGACAGTTTACAGATACAGCACCAGATAACTGCCTGTAATAAATAGCAATATTTTAGTAGTGCTCCTCCTGGTGGCAACTTTGATTTATTTTTTTTTTTTTTTTTGTTTTTTTAAAACCCTGAACATTCATGCTCATCTCATTCCTCTCTATATGTTTCCCTTCCCAAAAGGGTATTGGGAAGACAAAATATTTTCTTCTAATATTCCCTCTCTCCCTTTTTTGCACTGTACTTGAGAAGTGCCTAAAGCATTTATTGATAAGTGCTTCTTTCAGTATTGCTACACAATGGAAAACCAAGTCAGGATATACTGCTTTTTATCTTAATAAACACTAAATGAAGCACCTCTAATACACAGAGGAACAGCTGAGATTAAAACAGAGTTAACATCTGATGTATGTGTTTGCTTGAGTAATATTAATACCCATATATTAATATTAGTAAAGTTGAAAGCAGAAATGAAAGACATTTTCCTGAAGCTTAAATTCTATTTTTTTTAGAAGTGGGGAGAAAGAAAAAAAGGAAGTGATGACCACCGATACGAGCAAGTATAAAATGGATTCATAAGTGACCATTTTCATGTCTTCTCCTTCATCAAAAATTCTAATTTTTTTTTATTTTTTTATTTTTTAAGTTCCCAAGCCAAATCAAGCATCTGGATTCTTTGAAGGAATAACATTTCATTTTCTAACCTAGAGTGACAGAAGACTTTGCCTTACTACTATCTTTCAGCATAGAGAACAACTGTCACGCAGCACCTAGAAATCTGAGGATGACAAAAGCCAACCTCAACACCAAAAGAACTGTCCCCAAAAGGGATGCATGCAAAAATTCTGATCTTGTTTTCTCTAAATTAGAAATGAGCTACTGAAGGAGAGCAGTATAAGCTTTTTCAGAGCCTGTGTACGTCTTAAAATAATCAAAGTTGTAGATTAAACCAGGTTGCTTCCAGAACTGTCCTTCCAGTATTGCTCACAAATAGGAAATTTAGCTAATATTACAGCAGATCATACTGGACCTGAAAAAGTAACAGGATACTTTTATAAAGTTACGTAAGTGCGTGTTTACATGACAGATGAAAGTGATTCCTTAGAACAAATTATGATTCATTCTTTACAGTTCATAAATATTGATGTCAAATTTCTGATTTGTTATTAAAATGGTAAACTCCCTGATTAAATAAAAGCAAATATAATATTCATTTTAATTACCAAAGAATATAAAGTATTAAAGCTGAAGTGACATGTTCTCATACTGTTTATGAAAACAGATCCAAGAATCAAGAAATAAGAACAGCTAACTATGACTTTAAACTATCTGCCATTTTCACATGCACAACTAGTATCAGACTTGTATTTGCTAGAGGTTTCTGCTACACATGGGCAAGACAGCTAACATCTCTTAAAGGCTAAGGAAATTTCAGTCAGCCACAGAAATTCTGAACAACATTATATCCCAAAGTTAGAACTTGGTTTCAAACTAAAAGAGGAGAGGTTTAGATTGGATATAAGGAAGAAGTTTTTTATTATAACGGTACTGAAGTACTGAAACAGGTTGCCCAGAGAGGTGATAGATGCCCTATCCCTGGAGACATGCAAGGACAGGCTGGATGCAACCTGATCAAGCTGTAGGTGTCACTGTTCACTGCAGAGGAGTTGAAAGGAACCATTCAAGGGCATCTGGTCCAACTCCAACAATTCTATGATTCCCTAAGAATATGTAGAAGATTGCCAACGCCTTACGTGGAAGATTGCCAACACCTTGCCACCCTATGTGATTAATTCTCCTCCACCTACCAAAGCAAGTTAGAAGACTAACAAAGCAAATTCTTAAAGCGTGAAGATGTAATCATGGAGACTCAATTGCTAGAATAAGAAAATCAACAAGTCTTCCCTGGTAACAGCATGCAAGACTTCACAAAATGCTTGTTACACAGAACATACTGACACACAAGAAAAGTTTTCAGCTGAGGTGAGCTTGTGTGTCATATATGAATATACATTAGGATATAATCAAATGAAGTGAGATGATAAAGATTTATGGAATTTTTCAGTTGTATTTTTAAGATTCATAGGGAAAAAGTGGATGAAGACTAGCAAAGAAAGACAAACGACAAGAAAACATGGCAACTTCCCCCTGAAATCTCTATCTGTGGTTTGTGTGAATTAAAAAAACACTAGATGGCACCAAAGACAGAGATTAGTCTGTAGTACATTAAAGGAAGATTTACATGCTGGCAAAATTTAGCATCCCGTAAAATAATTTCATTTACTATTAACACTTCATCATCACCCTTGAGAAACGTGCTTGTAGTCACAGCTATCTTTTTATAAAAGCACTGTAGTAGCTACATAAACACATAATACATTTTGGTGAAGAACAAGGATTTTTAAAAGTTCCTAACACCTACAAAGCCCAACTACAACCTGAGTACATGCTCAGTACTGAGCACACGTTGAAGTTTAAAGGCATCAACAAAACACACCAAGATAATTTTCAGCACGCACTGAAATTCCAGCCATTCCAAGAGTCCTATATACGAAGAGTAAGTCATTACACAACATTTAAGAATTTTTTCTACATATGTTTAATTGCTACACCTACGAACAATGACTTGCTCACACCTTCTGGGTCTAAATTGCTGTGGATTTGAACAACATGTTTATGCTCTTCAGGTAGATATATTTCACAAAACATAGCAATCTATATGTTTCTTACTTCCACAACACTTA